GTGTGTGTGTGTGTGTGTGTGTGTAGTATGTACATGTAAGTATTTATAATATATATATATATAGTGTAAGTTTATTATATATATATATAGATATTGTATATATAAACATGCATCTCTATGTAGGCATGCAATTTTATCTCTATTTATACTATTATTATTTATAGGATGAGATATGTATTCCCCGTGTGAAAAATTAGGCTCATGAGTGCTGCGTGCGGGCGCGCGAGGATGTTGGGTGACAACCATGTGGGCTCCAGCATTTTTGACAGCTTGAGCTTCGCAGCAGTCCCTTCGAGCTGCTTCAGCCCGGTTTGACCCACACTCAGGGTTAAGTCTCTGCGCTCGTCGTCCGATAAGGTTCGATTCGGCCCTGCACCCTTGCCTGTGGCATTCTGGGTCTTCGCGTCAGGCTCAGTACTATTGTAGGCCGCCTGTTGCTTGGCGGTGTTCTGTTGCACCAGGTGGATGATACTTTGCAGGACACGGAGATGTGTACGGGGGTGGTATGAACGAAGCCAAGTGATGTGATAGCCTATCAGCACCTGCAAAAAACTCTTCCCAGCCATGTGATGATGCCGTTATGTGAGCCCCACACTATAGCAGTGACCACATGCCCGGCGCGAGAGTAAGCTGGATGCTGGTGCCTTGGATGATGGTCACATCGACTTCATACCCGGATAAGCCATTCCCCGGTGGAACTAAGAACGAGATTTCCGTGGTCCCCGCCGCGGTCTGTATCTGGACGGCCAGCTGGCTGATCATTTGCTGAACATTAACTAGCCCTCCACTCTGCAGCAGCTCATCGTACCCTGACATCATTCCAGGGTACCAGCACCACGAAGCCGTCTTCGGCCATGGGGAATAACTGCCAGAAGATCATAGCTATGAAGAAAACCGCAAGCATGCCAAAGTTCCTTCCCAGACCCCCAACGGACCCACAATCCCCAGTCCAAAAATGAAGACTAAGGCCAGATACGTCCGTATGAGGCGTCAGTATGAGTAAAAGCCGTCTGAAGCCATCTGAGCCATCAACAGCAACGATGTGAGCGCAAACGATGCCACCATCAGCAACAGCGTGAACGCAAACACCACGCTAGACATCATACCCTGCATGTCCAAAAAAAGGATGCAGAATAGAACATCATAAAAATCAAATACGCCGGCTGACCAATTGGTGTGTCGAAGACAGACGTTAGAATGCGGGAATGCCAAAGAGGAACAACCGTAAAGACCTCGCAATCCGTGTATCTGTGATGGTGGAGAAGAATCTACTGTTAGTCCTCCTCTCGTCATTCGATAAATAGTATATAGGGCGCGGGTTTGACCATGTGTCCGGGATATCTGATAGGAATGCATCTGTTTCCGCACCCAGTGGTGACGACACATTGACACCCCCGCCTTCTTGTAGTTTGTCTAGCTCTTCTGGTTTGACACGCGACCGTTTCTTCCATCGAGGTAGTAGACGCTTCGCCCGACCCCCCCCCCCCCACGGACTAGCGTCTTGCTCTACGGGACCACTTTCAGCCAAGTTATCAAAGCCA